TCAACATGAAATTTCAGATTTATATAATATTTCTTTGGATATCTTTATACAACTGATTGCTGTTTCTTTTTGTTTTATATATTCTTCGCTCATATATTAGGACTGCAGTTTCTCCTCCCTTCCTCTTTCCCTCCCAGTCTCTCCCCCAGACCTCTCCTTTCTCCCAGATCCATGCCCCCCACGCCCCACCCCCCCTCAGAAAATAGCAGGCCTCCCAGGGACATCAACCAAAATCAACACAAGTTACAATAAGACCAGGCACATACCCTCACATCAAGGCTGGTTGAGACAACCCAGTTGGAGGAAAGGGGTCTCACAAGCAGGCAAGAGTCAGAGAGAGCCCCAACTCCTGTTGTTAGGAATCCCACTCAGCCATAACACATAGGGAGAGGACCTAGCTCAGAACCCTACAGGCTCCCTGATCTCTGCAAACCCCATAAGTCTGGGTTAGTTGATTCTGTGGGCTATGTTCTTTGTTCTCCTGGTGCCCCTGGCCCCTCTGGTTCCTTTGATACTTCCTCCCCCTCCCAGAGTTCTGCCTAATATTCGGCTGTACGACTCTGCATCTTCTCTAATCAGTTGCTAGATGAAGATTGTCTTTCTCTTTGATAACTATTCTGCTGGGCTCTGGTCCCAGAACATTCTTCAGGCAGGACAAACTCTCAGGGAAGATTTTATGGTTGGTGTCCCAATCCCTCCACTTGAGGCCTTGCCTGGTTACAGAAAATGGCTGGCTCAGGCCTGTGCTCTATATCACTAGGAATCTTGGCTAGGGTTGCTCTTGTAGACTTCATGATGCTTCTATTGCACCCAGTTTCCCCCTGGTCCTCCAAGAGCCCCTAATTCCAGTTGTTTCTCCCAATATTTTCTCCTTCCTTTCCTCCCACCTGATCCTCCCTGTTGCCAACCACATCTGCCCCAGGCCACCCTGGAAATATATTCTATTTCCCCTTCCTAGGCAGACCCTTGTGTCCTTCCTTAAGGCCCTCTTGTTATGTAGCCTCTCTGGGTCTGTGGACCAGAGCAAGATTATCTTTTATTTTACAGCTAATATCCATTTATGAGAGAGTCCATTCCATGTTTGTCTTTCTTAGTCTTGTTTACCTCACTCAGGATTTTTTTTTCTAGTTCCATCCATTGGCCTGAACATCCATTTCATGTTGTCATTGTTCTAATTGTAATATCAATTATGTAAGTGCAACACATTTTCTTTATCTATTCTTCAGCTGAGGGACATCTAGGTTGTTTCCAGGTTCTGCCTATTATAAATAAAGCTGCTATGAACTTAGCTGAGAAACAGTCTTCATGATATGATTGAGCATCCTTTGGGTAGATGCCTAGGTGTGGTATAGCTGGATCTTGAGGTAGATTTTTTCCCCCAGTTTTCTGAGAAAGCATCATATTGATTTGCAAAGTGGCTGTACAAGTTTACACTCTCATCATCAGGAGAAGAGTGTTCACTTTGCTCCACATCCTTCCCAGCATAAGCTGTCACTTGTGTTTTTTATTTTAGCCATTCTGACAGTTTTAAGATGGAATCCCATGTACATGAATCAGTAGAATTAACAGTAAAAATGCTGGGTGCAGTTCCTGCAACTGGAGGAACAGGTAAGCGAGCCACCTGCCAGTCAGACTGCCCCACTCCCAGGAGTCTGTTCCTCCAAACACATTCCAATGCCCAAGCCCTCCCACCTCATCATCCTTCCAGCAGCCAGGCCTTCTCTCTAATCCCTGCAGACTTCATGGCTCAGGTACAGTCCCCACCAGTTGGAAAAACAAGTGAATGACCTGCTGGCCAGGACAAGCCACAACATTTCCCGGGTTCTGTCTCCTGGGACCCATCTGGCAGTCCTCCCCCTCCTAACTCATCATCAGCACCACTGCTGGGCCCTGCCCCCAACTTCAAGTGGAATCCCACTGCTCCAGTGTGGTCCCCATCAGTCTGAGCAGCAGACTTCAGGGGCTCAAGAGGGGCAGACCACAGCAGTCAGAAAAGACAGGTCATGCCAGTCACAAGAACAGAGACCCCACCCCTCCTTCATGCTGCACCAAAGGCCAAGCTGACCCAGAGGGGGCCAGCAGGTGACTTGGACAGAGACTCCCTACTAGATCAGAGGTCACACCAGGCACTAGAAATTCAGGCCATGAAGACTATAAAATAAAAAGGGAAACAGAAACCGAGGGAAAAAACACCAACGCAACAAAGACAAACTTGGAAATTAGAACCTAGACCTGTATAATCATCCAAAACCACATGCCTAAACACCAGTGTAAGGACACAATCAACAACACCCCGGCCAATATGGCATCACCAGACTCCAGCTGTCCTACAACAGTAAGAACTGAATATTCAAGCTGAAGGCAGCTGAAGCACACAAAAAAATGGACTAAAAAACAGCTTTTTGAAGATGATAGAGGTCCTTAAAGAGGAAATGAAAAACTCCCTTAGAGAAACTGATGAAAAGACAACCAAACAAGGAGAGGAAATCAAAAAGCCCTGAAAGAATACCAAGAATGCCAAGGGAAAAACAAACAAACTGGTGACAGAAACTATTCAAGACCTGAAAGTAGAAATAGAAGCAATAAAGAAACACAAACTGATGGAATTCTGGAAATGGAAAATCTGGATAAGCAAACAGGAACCACAGATGCAAGCATCACCAACAGAATGCAAGAGATAGAAGAATCTCAGGCACTGAAGACATGATAGAAGAAATAAACCTTTCATTGGTCAAAGAAAATGTTAAATCTAAAAAACTCCTAACACAAAACATCCAAGAAATCTGGGACACTATGAAAAGACCAAACTTAAGAATAATAGAAATAGAAGAAAGAGAAAGAATCCCAACTCAAAAACCCAGAGAATATATTTAAAAAAAATCATAGAAGAAAATCTTCCTAACCTAAAGCAGGTCATGCTTATAAATGTGTAAGAAGCTTACAGAACATCAAATAGATTGGATGAGAAAAGAAAATCCCTGTGCCACATAATAGTCAAAACACTAACCATATAGGACAAAGAAAGAAAGTTAAAAACTGCAAGGGGAAAAGGCCAAGTAATATATAAAGACAGACCTATTAGAATCACACCCAACTTCTCAATGGAAACTAAAAACCAGAAGGGCCTGCACTGATATTTTGCAGAATCTAAGAGACCACAGATGCCATCCCAGACTGCTATACTCAGCAAAACTTTTAATCACCATACATGGAGAAAACAAGATATTTCATTACAAAGTCAAATTTAAACAGTAATCTATCCACAAATCCAGCACTACAGAAGGTATTAGAAGGAAAACTCCAACCCAACACAATTAGCTACACACATGAAAACACAGACAATAAATAACCTCACACTAGCAAGGCCCAAGGAAGGGAAAACACACACACACACACACACAAACACACACACACAAACACACAAACACACACTGTCACAACCACCATCAACAACAAAAATAATAGGAATTAACAATCACTGGTAATTAGTATCTCTCAATACAAATAGATTCAATGACAATTAAAAGACACACTCTAACAGAGATGGATTTGAAATAAGGATCCATCCTTTTATTGCATACAAGAAACACATCTCAACATCAAAGATAGACATTACCTCAGAGTAAAGGGCTGGAAAGAGATTTTTCCAAGCAAATGTACCTAAGAGGCAAGCTGATGCATTTATCCTTATATCTAACAAAACAAAATAGACTTCAAACTGAAATTAAATAAAAGAGATCGAGAAGGACATTTCATATTCACCAAAGGATAAATCCATCAAGATGATGCTTCAATTTTGGACATCTATACCCCAAATGCAAGGGCATCCACATTTGTAAAAGAAACATTACCAAAACTTAAATTACACATTGAACTTCACACATTAATAGTGGAAGACTTCAACATCCCACTCTCAACAATGGACAGGTCATCCAGACAGAAACTTAACAGAGAAATAATGGAACTAACAGACATTATTACTCAAAGGGACCTAACAGTCTATCTAAAGAACACTTCACCAAACACAAAAGAATATAACTTCTGCTCAGCACCTCATGGAACCTTCTCCAAAATTAACCGTTTACTTGGCCACAAAGCAAGTCTCAAGAGATACCAAAAAAATTGAAATAACCTCTGTATCTTTCAGACCACCATGTATTAAAAATAGATTTTACCTAAAAAAAAAAAAACAGATTTCAACAATAGAAACTATAGAAATCCTACAAAGTCATTGAAACTGAACAACTCTCTACTGAATTACCACTGGTTCAAAGGAGAGAGAAAGAAAGAAAGAAAGAAAGAAAGAAAGAAAGAAAGAAAGAAAGAAAGAAAGAAAGAAAGAAAGAAAGAAAGAAAGAAA